TAGTCTTCAAAATGAAATTACACGCGTAATTCATTCAATTACCGTCGACGAACTGCAGAGAGTGTCGCGTAATTTATTTGTGAGATGCGCGGCATGTTTGCAAGCAGAAGGAGGTCACTTTCAGCACCTGTTATAAACCACGGTAAGTTATCTTTTTACTGTATTCTTATAAATGTGTGCATGTAGAGCAACTGATGGACGGAGACTCAGCGACACCACTACACTCACGCTATCGGGGAACGGCACTGCAGTCGCAGGGAGGAGTTGCATCCGTTCTGCGGTGGTATGACTCACGGCAAATTGCAGCCGCGGCGCGCACTTGATTGTACGCACTGTATAATTAGAATGATCAAATTAGGAAGGTGAGGTTTGCCGGGGCATATAACACCTGGGAGATAAGGGGAATATATACAGCGTTTTGGTGGGAAGACCAGAAGACAGAAGACCATTAGGAACACCTAGAAATATGTAGGTTGGAGGACAGTATTAAAATGGATCTTAGATACATATAATGGTGGTATGGACTGGATTCATCTGGCTCAGAATAGAGATGAATGGCAGGCTTTTTTGAACATGGTAATGAACCTTCGGGCTCCAAAAAATATTGGGAATTCCATCAGTTGCTGAGCAATGGCTGTCTTCTCAAGAAGGTATCAGTTCCATGGACTAGTTTCTTCAACTTCTGCTTACTACCAATTTGTACCCACCCAAGTTTCATCCATGTACGAAACTGGCTTACCTGTATCCTCAGATCCTCTGACTTATTTTAGGTGCACACTTCCAGTTCACAGTATTCTCTCTTTCAATTAATATTCTTCTGGATCCACATCTTTCTGCTTGAAACCATTTATTTCAGTATTTGCCTTAGTGTTGTAGCTTTCCAATGAGAATTCATTCTCACCAATTAGCTCCTTGCAGGTTGGTACTACCCTTTGTCATAAATAAAAATCTTGAATAACCTCCTTTATTACCCACTGGCCAGTCATCTGCCTCTGCATTTTTTATGTACAATATTGTAACATGTTTCGTTACTGAACACGCCGTAGAGATCGTTAATTGGTTTATTCAACAATCTACAAGAAACAGCTACAATTAATTATTACACAGTTGTGGGGTTTCACACTTTATAACCCTAATCGCATTAATCTGTTAACACTGTTGCGGGGTTTCACGATTTATAACCCTATGCGCAAATCAGTTCACTCTGTGTTCAGTAGTCTACACGTTGACAGTAGGGGAGCTAGGTATCACTGTATCACACACTCCCAATTACACAGTCACACACACGTCCGGATCTTCTTTCCGCGACGGCTGCTATACTCCAACTGTAGTCCGCTGACTGGAGAACTGTTGATAACGCACTCGGCGACTGTTACGTTACAACTGACTGGTAGCTGCTGTGCAGTTCCCTTATATAGCCGCAGTGGTGCCTGTTGCGTGCCACGTCACAGTAGGAAGTTGATTACGGGTACGTAGCGTTGCGCGTTATGTCACCCCGGAGGGGTGGGAGGAAGCGCTACGTTACAGCCACGCGCCTGTGGCCTGAGTTGCCACGTTGCTGCTGGGTAGGGAAGGGTTCTCCATTGCGCAACATGTTACACTGCTCCTTCCTTAAGGCTGTTCGTCCCGAATAGCCTAACGGTGCACCCCCGTTCCTTTTCCGTCTCGTAGCTGTGCTTGCAGTGTCTGCTGTTGTTTCAGCTACTCTTCTTGCAGCGACTATTCTTCATCCGTTACATCCGCTCCCCTCTTAAGACAAAGCTCGTCTCGAGCGGTTTCCTTTCAGTTCGCCAGAAGATCCAGTCGTGTCCCATTCATCCAACACTTTTTCCCATGGCACATTCACTCTCTCTGGGGAGGCCGGTTCTTCTACATTACCGGTTATTCCTCTGCTTGAAGTTTCTTTTTCTGTTTTGGAGGGGGTCGTCCCCTCCACAAGGTCCAATCCTTGCCGTGTCGTAGGCAGACAGAAAATCCAGCTACTCGCTTGGCGATCTGCAGTCTTGCAGTTTTTCTCGGGTCTGCTTCCTTCACATATCGCGGCTGTCCGCCGCCTAGGTCCTTCACTTCATTTCTGCGTTGTAGTTGACGTCTCAGGCCTTGGTCCCTGAGGCCAGTGTTGCGTTCCGGCCCTTTCCACAGTCTTTTCCCGAACGTCCGTTTCTTGGCGATTTCCGGTGGGACCTTATTCTTGATTTTTCCCATGCGCCTGTGTCCTACACAGCGTGTAATCTTTATTCCGGTGGCGGTCACTTCTTTCCGCTGGCATCCGAAGGTTCCCAGGGGAATATCCTTCTTGAAGGCAATTCTCCAACGTCGTGCCACTGTCGCGCGACGGGATGTCTTCCTGCAGGGGGCAGCCAACTTCATCCGTGGTCCACAGTTTTCCCGTGTCGAATTCTTTATATTTCGTCGATGTCGGTCCCTGCGCCTTTTCTTCTTCGGTTCTCCGACCGGCATTA